GCAAATCCGGTGCAAATTTACGACTTTTGAATCACCAATATTCATTTCCGTTTAGAGATTTCTGTAGCTTTTAAACTGCCAATATTTTTCTTTTTGAGGTATAGAGGGTTAACACAAGTGGTGGGAATCAATCCGCCGAATTTTTAATTTTTTTTTTACTTTTTACTTTTCCTAATAACATTTGCGTATTTAGTTGTGTTCCATCTTGTTCAATGATTGTTTGGACTTTTTTAAATTTTACTTTTGTACATGATTGAATACGAACATCTTATTGTTGAACTACCAAGCATTGTTTTTTATATTTAGCAATAACATTCCAATTCAAGGCAATGTGTTCTATTCCATGCTCAAGAGAATCGTTGATCGCCGGTCAATTCTACGTTTCAAAGCTGTGTTATAAAAGGTCACCTGAATGATGTTTTAATTTGTGTATAAGAGGCATGCGCAGTACGAAATAGTTTACCTGCGTCAGTTGAATGAAATGTGTATTTCACGCTTGGACAGAGTCACTATCATAAAAAGCGTGTGCAACTGAAAATAATATGAATAATAGAGCGAGCCATTAATAAGGGACTTCTGATTTTGATGATAATAAAAGCTTACCACAATTTCAAATGACCATTTTCACTTTACTTGCTCACTTTTTTTGTGTCTGCACTTGATTTTTTGGGTTTTTATTGTTGGTTGTTTTTTTTTCGAAAATGGGAGTGGCTTTTCTTTATTTTATGTTTTGTCTTTGTTCCGACTTCCGTAAATACAGTTTTTATTTCAGGTAATGACAGATTAAAGTCATTTTTTCTTGATGTTAATTTTTTATGGAGTACATACCTATTTAATTACTTTTTCAATTAAACAAAGATTGTGTTTTGTTAAATGTGTACTTCATTTGTTCCATTTAAGATGTATGGGATCATAATACAGAGTGGCAGTTAAGAAAAATAGTTTCTACATGACTTTGTGTCGATAAAAGGCAAAATGTGTTCCCCAATCGGTAGGGGACTAACAATAAAAAAGTTTTCTAAAAATTATATCAATGAAAGAAATCATGATATAGTTGGTATTCTTCATATCTTTCAATTTTATAGTACATGCATGCATACGAATTAAGACTTGCATGTTAATGCCTAAGAGGCGTATGTCATACTGAAAGTAAATGATTTCAATTTCATGTTGTGATAAGCTAACCTCTTTACAGCTTTCAGTCTAGATACTTTATACTACAGATGCAAATATTAAAACATTGGAATGCCTAACGTGCAGCTACAAGTATTTCATGCATTATAGCCGGAGGTTGGGGAACGAGATGGTCAATTTCGGTAAACCACGAACTTTTTAACATCGAACGTATATGTCAGTAATGGTCTTTTCATATTTTAATCATTTCCATATGAATTTGGGCGCGGCCATATATAGTGATCCAAATTTAATCAGCAAGAATTTCTGAAATACCTGCATTATATAATAAATAATCTATTGAGGTACCATGGATATACATAAATCTGTATGATCATATTTCCAAGCCTGTATGACGTGGAGGCTACATAAACTAATTGTACAAACACTTTACTTAAAATATGCAACATTTCTTTGGACTAACAAATTTTTAAAAGGATTAATTTTAATTTCTAAAAATGCACACACAAATAAAAAATATTTAATTTGAATATAGGACCTTACATTTGCATCGTATTGAAATATTAAATTGTTCTCAATTGATGGTGTCAATAAGTTGGAATTTATTTTTCGTTTAGATTATGATACGAACAATAGATATAATGAGGTTTTAGAAGAAAATTCATTCGTCAATTTAGATAACGGTGTTTCTGCTGATTATGTAGGTAATTGGCTCCAGTAGAAATTTCTCAGGCGAGGAAGGTACTTAAACACGACCGTTTGAAATAGCATTCATAGCGCAGATTGCCAGTCGCCGAACACGACCCTCAAATTCTAAATTAAATATATTCTGTTAATACACAAGATGGTACGAAAAGTCATTTAAACAAGCTGGACTTAGTTCGCCTTTACTGGAACAACTTCACTACCAAAGATATCCGAAAAGCTTTGAATTCCAAAGGCATCAAAGTTACTCGTCAAGTAATAGACTACTGGGTTCAACAGTATCGTCAAGGGAAGTTTACATACGAGATGACCTGTACTTCGCCAAGAAAAGTGAAGATACTGAAGACGCTTACAAGAGCCGATGTACAGTTTGTCAAACGAACACTATCTACAGAACCTTGTACCTCTAGCAGAACTTAACACAAAAGGCTTCTCCTAAAAGGGTCCAAGGTCAGTCAGTCTACGACAAAGAGAGCCATATTCCCTGTTGGCTTCACCTGTACCAAACCAAGGTATTGTCAAATGGTGAGACACGTTAATAAAGAGAAGAGGGTAGCCGTTTGCAAGATGTTGGTGGAGAATGATGATCAGCTCAACGACATGATATTTACAGATGAGTTTACCCTTCAACTTCGTCAAAATAAAATCTACATTTACAGAAGATTGGACCAAGTCAGACCATCACTGCCAAAACCGAAACATCCTTTAAAAGTTCATATGTGGGCTGGTATCAGCAAATGAGGCGCAATACCCATTCTTATATTCGACGGCATTATGAACGGACAGTTCTTTACCGACAAAATCCTGAGGGAGACCTTCCTGCCGTACGTTAGACGAACGTTTCTGGATCACCACCGATTCCAAATGGACAATGATCCACAACACAGGCCCAACGTCTCCAAAAACTTCATGACTGCCAACGGTATTAAATTGTGGGATGTGTGGCCATCGGGTATGTATATTCAAACATTGTAGAATTACTATACCTTTACATTTTAATGCCAGTTAGACAAATTAAGACAGAAGAAGAATAGGAAAAAGAGTAATCCTACTGTTTACCAAATAAACTGTATATCAAATAATGACTAAAGTGTTTCCGATAGACACTATAATGAGACAGTTTTCTGACAGTACCCCAGAAAGTCTCTTTTTTTTTAGTAGTGAAGATGTCAATACAGTTATAGATCGTCTTTTTTTTGTCTTGTTGAGTCTCGAAGAAGGGTTAAACAATTACCTCAGATATCCTTTAAAGGAGGTCTTATTGTAAATACATACTCAACTTGATATTTCCAAAACGATATATCAAAAGTTTAACAACTAATCTATTTCAGAAAGTGCCGACTTGAGAGAAAGCTGTCTACTATACACATGACAACAAAAGAAGAGTACTTACATGTTGAAACAACAGTGTGCCAACTACATAGACCATGTGTATAAAGTAGTGCCAGTGTGTATGTTGATGAAGGGTCAGGCTACAGGCAGCATCCCTAATAGGATCTTCAACGAGCCATCCATCACACGGGAAGAGAATCACGTATTTTCAGACGTTGTTGTGGTCTCCTGAATATCATGGCGCCCGTAAGCGACTTGGCTTTTAAAGACTAGCAAGAACAACTTCAAGATTAAGAGACCAGACCACAAACAGCAGACCAATAAACGGCCCTTATCAGGGCCACCAACATTTTACAAATAGAGTCTAAATTGTTGTACTTTAGTCCTGAATTTTCCTTCCTATAGTTTTTATTGATTGTTTTTTCAACTATCTTTGGTTGCAACCATTGAAACAGGTCACCAACGGACCCCGCAAAGAGATGTTGTAGAGGTTCTTGACGTGCATGGAGCGTGGTACTCTCTCTTTCAACACGGGACTTCAGATTTTACGTCTTCACTCTGACCGAACGTTGCTGCGTATTTGTACATCTTGCAGAGTTAAATATCAAATTGTTTACAAATATATACGATAACATTTTTCAATTTTTATGATAAGGGTGTTTTTCTTCACAGTATTAAACCCGTGTGAAATTGCAGTTTAATAGTGCATCTAGTGCTGGCTCAGATTAATTTTAGAGACAAGAGGCAAGGAAACTTTAAAATATGTACATAAATAAAGGCAGCAGTAGTATTACGCTGTTCAAAGTCGATTGATAGAAAACAAACCCGGGTTACAAATTAAAACATAAATGACATGCATTACAAAAATTGAGGCGAATTGTAAAATGTTCAGTGGAAAGTGTTTCAATCTAAAATATATTTGTTTACAAGCAGTTTAAAGTCAAATCAATGTATGAAATGGAGTGTGACAGTCGTGTCTTTTTTGTAACAACCATTTAATTGTTAACAAGGTGAAATTGTTTTACAGCTGATCCAACGTGTCCGTTCTGAATACAGTAAAGACACTTACGAAATGTTTATTGTCCCCATAGATTTGTTGGACTTTAGTGGCCCGAAAATTATCACTTGACTCACCAGCTTTTTATTACAAGTAGAGGTACATTTGTTCTGATCTTCAATGGCAGTTAAGGTATTCATGGAGTAATATCTGACTACAAGGACTTCCTGGCTGTCAAAATCAAAGAAATACAGCATGAATGTTACCATTTACATACAATAATATTTGTGCAAATAAATCAGTATTCTATGAGGCTATGCATGCAGGAACAGCAGGATATTTGTTTCTGATAAGGAAACAATAAAGCTAACTACTGAAATGATTGAAGAGTTATTATGTTTAAATCAACAAAGGTTGATTACAATTGACAAGATATATTTAATAGTGGTTGTGGGAATCAATTGTTTAAATTTTTTTATAAATGTCTATTGTTCAGTTATAATTTGATGGCAATCTTATACTTTCAAACATGTTAAGATGTATGTGTGTTCATTTTAGCATATCTTGTCAATTGGGTAAATTCAGTACTTGCCTATACTTTTTCGGAAAATGGAAGTCTATCTTGTCCGTTTGGTGAATTCAGTACTTACATATTGTAAGACTTTGTCGAAAAAATGGTAGTCTATCTTGTTCGTTTGTGTAAATTCAGTACTTCCATTTTGTAAGACTTTATCGGAAAATGGAGGATATATATCTAAAATAATTATCTGTTGCAACCCACGCAGATCAAGTACAAGTAAGTACTGACATAATTTCAAGAAGAGTGCAACTCTTATACTTTTCCATGTTCGATTGGTGCTATATTGTTGGTTCCTTGACGTCCAGTGGCAAATACTTCATACCTGTTCATGACAAAAACAATATCAATACATACAAAAGAGGTCCATTTAGAGAGGTCGTCTAGGATAAGGTCAGGGAACATTGAGGGTAAATTGGATAGGAACAGAAATTTGACTAGCAAAAGGGTACCCATGGTCCCCTCAAATAGTTGATGTAAGCATAGATGTATAAACCCATAGATAAAGCTCGTCAAAAGTTCCCTACTGTTCTCTATTGTTAGATAAAAAGAACCATGACCAAATTGACTGTCTTTGATGTTTCATGTGTGTTGTCCTCAATAAAGTAACTCTAGCTACATCTCTTATCTGTTGATCTGTATTGACCAGTACAGCAGAATAGATTTTCTTAATTGTCTTCTCGAGTTATGTCCCTTCTGTTGTGAGAGTATGTCTATTTTTAGCGCACTGGACAGACAAATAAAATGGTGCACAAATGGATGAAATCGGTCAGAAATTGCGCATTTTACAAGGAAATATTGAACTAAATTAAAAAATGTTTTTTTTTAAGGCTTGTATCTTTATATTTTATAAAAACTATGTTCCTGTTAGTTCCTGAAAATAGGAATAGCACGTTGTTGAACTTCTAAAATACACCTTCTTTTTGATATGCTTCATTAAGTAGTCGGACTGCGTCGAATTCGGAAAAAAATTAATAAGAAAGTACATTATTTTCTTTATTTCATCAGTTTTTCTACATTTTTAGAAGAGAAATTTTCTTTTTAAATCATTTTTATATTTTTACGAATAAGTTAGTTACTAAATCATAGATGTATTTTATACATCTATGGCTAAATTATAATAATTTCATTCATGATGTTTATTAAATTAGTTTAGTAAAGAGTTTATGTGTACTACCAAAACATTCCATGTAAAGCATGGTAAATAAATATTATGGAGCATATATTCAACTTTTTCTATTAATTGTATTTTCAATAGACTTAATTGTTTATAATAGTTAACATACATTGTTTAAATAAAGTTTAATTGTGATAAAAGATATAAAATCTAAAAATGTAAATATGACGAAAACATTAGTTCTGGCTAAAAAAAAAGATATCGCATTTATTAATTTCTTTTCAAGAATAATTTGTAATATTGTATTACCTACAAGAACATTATTTTTTCATAACCAATTAAGTCATTCTAAAATATATATTTTGATTTTATTTCTTTCCGACTTTTAGCATGTTTAACTGCTAAGTAGCTTTTGATTTTCAGTTTTCTATTGTCTAGATTGTCAATCGGCATCTCAATGACCAACTGGTCCATGTCATTATCAGATAAGTGTGAAAGCCATTACAACGCACATAGAACCTTTGAAGTCAGTGTTGAGCTTCATCTATGGGTTTATACATCTATGATGTAAGGGTTCTTAACGTGCAATGAGCGTAGCAGTCTCTCTACACGATCTACGAAATTGTGTAAAATTACTTTTCATACACAATAAACCCACATTTGGCAAATGTCTATCACTATACTATAAACCCTGATTATCCAGAGGCAGTCCAAATTTACTATACCCTCATCCCGAACTTCCTCGATTACAGGACCTACTTTAAATGGTTATGGTTTTTTTCTGAATATTCATGAACTGTTTGCCACTGGACGTTAAGCAACCAATCAGTAGATGGGAAAAACCCATGGGTAAGGATAGAAGTGTTGATAAATTTATTCGCAATAGAGTCACAAAATAAGTTTATCAACATTGGCTATTGAAGTTCAAACGATTATAATGTTATATGTTATGTCCATCTTGATAAAAAAAAAACTGTGATGCAGCATTTCATTAATTCCAAATTTTGAACAAAAACATGAGATGAAAAAGAATGTAATTTTTAAATGCTGATCACACAATATATCTCTGTAACCTTTCTTGATTCACAAGATCCGTCGTGTGTTTTTTCCCTCTCTTTTGAGTTTTCTCTTGTGTTATTTTATATATTATTGCCCTTAATATATATTACTTATTTGTATTCTAGAATTACAAAAATACTTATATGTTTCCCGGTTATAATAAACAACGATCATGTACCTGATCTGATATCCTTTTGGAAGTCTGTTCCTATTGTATCACTCGATTGTGTATCCGGTCTAATTTTAATTCGTATCGGAATACTCATTAACTTTTCACACTGAAGTTTTTTGTCTGAAAGAACGTACTGATATAGTAAGATTACTGGTAGAGGTGATTCATAGTGCTAATCAACGCAACAAGATAAGAATAACCATAAAAAGTAATTTGTAATTTGGTATATTAAAATTGTATACATTATTATTATTTTGAAACGAAGAAAAATAAGATTTTAGCGTCATTAAGAATTTAAAGTGTGTGAATGTAGGGGTTCTCTTATGTTAAATTGTTTAATTCTCAATAACTTCCAGAAAATTATTCCAAAACGTGGAAAATTATTACCATTTGGAATAAATAGAACGTCAAAAACATTTTGTTCTGCATGCTATTTATAGAAGTATGCGTTGGATGATTCATCCCATATAACTATGGCATTCTTCCGGGGTCAACATAGTTCGCAACATTAAGCATTTCGAGAAGAAGATAACGGTCAGTTGGTTTAATCTAATTTTGTAGTTATCAATAAATATTATTACTATTTTTCTATATTCAATTGTCTTTTTTTAACTTCTAGTTTCAAAGACTAAAGCCCAATGCGAAAATGTTGCAAATTATACTCATGGTAACAGCTGTTTTCAATAACTGGGCCGAGGGAAAATTCAACCATGAGGTTAAATTGCGGCAAACTCTTTGAAAAGGAAGCCAATCTGCATTTTAGCAATGCTGTTTGGATATATCCTTTCCAAATAAGAGATTAAATTAATAAGTCCTTGTACAGGTAAAGAGTTTTGTGAAAATTTCAATGAACTCGCAATTGAATTGAAAATATTACAACTTCTAACAATCTAAAAACTTAACGAAACGGTAACCATCAAGAAGAGCAATATTAATCCATCAATCCATCAACTACAACTAAATGCAAAGCTAAGAAATACACAAAAAAAACAATTTTAAGCTTCATTTGGGGGAATTATCTAAAACTATCTTCGGTACTGCCACAATTTCGCATATGCAAGTTTTTGCTCAGCACATTAATGTCCTTACAGTGAAATTTACCAAACAAAAGGTTGTACATCCCACTTATTAGTCCTCATTTATTAGTGAATAAAATAATATCAAATACTGTAAATGACATGAGAGATACTCATACTAAAACAGAGCTATTACACAATGTAATGAGAAATAACACAAAGGCACCGAAAAAATTAGGTTTTATTAAATCAAATACAATCCTAAATACTAATAATATAAAAACCAATACAATCCTAAATACTATTAATTTAAAAACTAAAGTGAAACAAAAATTTCATGACTTAAAATTGGAAATTTAATTTTTTTTAATTTAGAAGGAAAACTATCTCCCTTATAAATGAAGCTAATGTGTTGGATAGGAAACTCTAATGGACCAAGTATCCCACATATGTTTAAACTCTTAATAAAAATATATTGACATCTTTGTTTTATTCACCATGTTTGTAAACTTATTATTTTGGTTAATGATTGATTGATTGATTGTTGGTTGCTTAATGTCCAGTGGCAAATATTTCATGCATATTCAGGACGAGAACAAATTAACAATAAATACAATAGGTAGAATCTGTAATAGGAGTGTCCGGGATTAAGGTCGGAGAAATTTAGACTGCCACGGGAAATGAGGGAATGTTGGATAGGGACAGAAATTTAGCCTTGCAACAGGTCACCTACGGACCCCTCAAAGAGTTGTTGCAAGGGTTCTTAACGTGCAAAGAGCGTGGCACTCTCTTTACACGAGGCATCGGATTTAACGTCCCCATTCTGACCGGACGTGGCTGCAAATTTGTACATCCCGCACAGCCAAACGGACGCCCCACTTTAGCAAGGGTTTTACTGCCGGTCGGAGGAAGACCAATGGTGACCATTCTTCTATTCCCCAGTCACCCTTGGGGGTATTTTGGTTAATGAAAAATATAACTACTTAAATATTTTAATGTTAAAATTTGTAAACACTAGCTTTATGGATTTACTTGATAAATAACTACTATTTACCTTTTTAATTTAGATAGATGTAACGTAATTCATTAATAATCTCCTGAGGGTTAAATGGCAATATACAATTAAAGATTTGGGAAGTGTTAAGACACAAGTGATTTATATCTTTTAAGATAAGTTTTGGCTTGACAATAGGGAAAATAGATTAATAAAAAATATGTCATTTATAACAAGATTCAAAGTTTTATTATCCTCAGACACAACAGTGTACAAGAGGTCAATATACATACATACATACATACATAAATAAACAAAATATCTATACAGTAGTTATAATACAATTATGAAAAACATTACATGTACGACAAAAGGAGCTAACACACATTTAACAATCACGTGATTCTCGTGGCACTTTCATTTGTATACAATACAGTCAGTTTAAAGTATATCTGTCATTTGGATTTAACATAATGTCATGAATTTGTGAGTATTCACATAGGTATTAATAAGTGAATAGTTATAAATACTTGGTAATGTTTTGATATATCTGCAAATATTACGATATAACTTTACATTGCAGTTTGACAGCATTCCAATCATCTTGATCTCTGATGGATTTGTATTGTAATAAGGTGGAATAATTTTTTTGCGCAGATCCACGATTTGTGGATATGTACAAGTAAACATATAATGATATTCATTACCAATGTTATTTTTACATAAATGACATATTCTATTGTGTTTAGGGATCTTTGCCCATCTTCCTGTCTCTATTGGAATTTTAAATTTGAACATCTCAATTTACACATATATATTCTATCGGATACAGCCAATCTAAGTAGATACGGTTCAAGTTTAAATTCATGTTTAAAAAGTCCATGAAATCCCCCCTAGATGAGCTATTAATTTGCGAAAACCAGTTTTGAATAAATTGATCAGTCAAATTCTGTTTTAGAATAGACTT